TGAAAATAGTTACCCCTTAATCATCTGAATATTTTGATTGGAATATAATATCCAATAATTTTTTGTGTAAGGACGGATATCTTTATGTAGATCGGAAAATGAATGAAGCAATGAATCTTAGAAACGATAGTCGCAGTTAAGAACGAAATGCAATTTGCAATAAACTTGAAATTAGTCGATAATTATAATTATATTCCGGAACTCGGCAGCTCGTTTTCCTGAAACTGAACCAACTAATATCCGTTCTTTTGCCGCCGTAGTCAACATGAACCATTTCGCCGTTTAATTAAACAATTAATATGCTCCACTATTCCTTTTGTACTGAAATATCCAATTTCCAAAGTAAAATGAAAGAAAGCGCGTTTAAAAAGGTTTCGAACTGCGTATATTAACTTATATTATCATACTCGATTGTAATGCGCCTAATTTGTATAAGAAATAATCTTGCAGGATTTAAGATTCCTCTGGGGAATTTTACATTTTTTATCAAGAGGCAGATTAAACGCTCATTATGGAGATGAGGAACAGCATTTCATTTGTTTGATGGCAATCCGCATTAATCATACGTGAATCTGGAGCTTCTACCTTAGATCTCACGCAGTTTGCAAAGTAGGTCCCCATTGTTCCAAAAATTTCAGCTTTTTGGCCATCTGAAATATTATGTTTCTGATGCAGACCATTAATAGACGTGACTTTATGTATAAAGGACCGTGTGAAGTTGAACTGTGGCACTTTTAGGTGTAAACAGCGTTTCAAGAATGGGGATGAAAAGTGCTTTCAACGTGCCACTTAAACCTAGCGCTGCTACTTTCCAAATGGCACTTACCTGTGCAATTTGATCGAACCGACCGAACAGTTCATTGAGGGTCCTAACTAAATCGGAGGCCGACAGTCTTTCAGAGAGTGGAGTGAAATTAACGATGTCCGCGTAGAGTATGGACACGTTGTTGTAGCGTTGCACGTGCATCTCGTGAAACGTTTGAGCTTTATTCGGCCCCTCGTGGCATGCTTCCGACATTTTAATCATAATACTCCTCTTCACCTGAAACCACAAATAAGATTTAAGCGCACTAATCGAAACCGTAGGGAGCATGATTTAATTACTTCCCTTAGAAAATAAATCGGGAATTAATCAAAGCGATTCCTCTGATTCCATTTTCGCTCTTTGAGAGCAAAGCTTTTAAATTTCTTTTGATTATATCTACTTTCCTAATTCATTTCTGGCTGGCAAAAAATTGAGATATCACTTTTATTAAAAAAAGCGTAAATTTGTTAAATAAAGCACAGGGCATGCGAAAGGAGGATTTTATTAAAAAATGCTAAAACAGCTTCCATGTTTTTTCAGACCTTTCAGCGAGAGCTTTTAAGCGGTTTCATGGATGACGTTTCATTGAATTGATTAACTTACCTCCGCTGCAATATACACTGGAATGACACTTAACAGAAGCTGTTCCTGCTGTTCCTTTTCTACTTCCAACTTCACCCTTGATTCTATACAACTTCGCGTACTTTCAAAAGTGCGACGATGTGCACTTTCGGTAATGTAACGGTAGTACAATCCTGTGCCGCTTGCGGTCAGAAGTAGGATAATTTCGGGAACAAGCTGAAACAATTAGAAAACATATAGGCCGCAATCCCATCAAACACAAATTATTTTAATAAAAATTAGAAATCATTGTTTTCTTATCAGGTGTCGACTATTAGAAAACAATGATTACCACTTGTTAATGCAATAGGCTGAGCGCTTGGAAAACAGTTTTTGATAAAAGGTTACCGGTATCTCGCTTCGTTTTTAGGTGCATATATTTCGCACTTTTACGAAATTTATCTTTTTCAGCACTCGTTACGTAATGTACTCTTTCAGAATTATATCCTTCTTAACTGGAGGGCAAGACTGATTCTTTTCCATAACAAAATATTTTTAACATTGGAAATGTTTATGGTTTCATTAGTTTCGTTACGAGTTACGAGTTTCGTTCAAACAGAAAAGACAACAAAAGATCAACGAGAAACCACTCCATTAAAGACCTCACGGTATCCCTTGAAAACTTCCACAGAAAGATGAAAAGAAATATGGATTCCTTGAATATTAAGTTTTCCGTGGTTAAAATAGTCCCCAAATCCGTATCTCCCGGGTGGACAATGCATTCGAGAAAAACAATAAGGAGTAAATTCCACGGATATCATTGTTGATCCAATCGTTGTCAAGGTACTTATTTGCCAAATAAATTTATCGAGAGATGGAAAGATTGGCCCCTAGACAAATAAAAGTTTATAGAGAAGGATGAAGTGGGGAAATTGATGAATGAAGAAATAATGAATCTAAAGTCGCCACAAGTCGAGGAAGATGTAAAGTGTAAGTGGAACAGAATCGAGGCGGGAATAATCAAAACAGCTGAAGATAAAGTGGATATAAGAAAGGAATAAGATCAAAGACGTTTTGGATAAATCAGGAAATCATGGAAAAGATTCAAGAGAAAAGAAGGTACAAAACCATCAATACCGCAGGAGGAATAAGTCAATATGGGAGGGTAAAAACGGAGTTGAGAGAAAAAACTGATGAAGCTAGGAAAAGGTGGTGAGGAGATCATTGTTCCTAAATAGAAAAGCTTGATAGGATAAGAGAGCACGAGCACGATGTTGTTTACAAACGGACTAAAGAGGTTACTTGGAATAGATCATTAAAGGTGTTTGTAACAACGCGGTGGAAGATAGAAAGAGTCGGTGGGAAGAGTATATCGTAGATCTCTATAAAACACATGAAAAACCAACTGGAAACAGAAGCATAAGTCTGTCCTGACAATATAAAAGCCAGAATCAGAAATAGCAATGAAATCATGGGACAGATGGCATTCCAGTAGAACCTGAATGGCCTGAAGATTTCCTAAATCAGATGATTCTTCTGGATAAAAAGAAATGAAGACACACGTGTGGTGAACATATAACGATCAGTCTGATAGGATAGAGTGTTAAATAAAAGGTTCGAGAAGATAATGAAGAGAAATGGCAACAAGAGATGTCAAATTGGACAATAGGTAAAAGATATATGGAGAAAGAAGGAATCTGAGCTTGTGTTTCGTTGGTCTGGTGAAAGCATTTGATTGCATTCTGTAGGAAAAATTTATGGGGATTTTAAAAGAGAAAGGTGTAGATTGGAAGGATACAAGGCACCGGGCAGTAAATAGACTTGATTGTACGGATGTGACCCGTGGACAATCTTGAAAATACATAAGAAAAGATTTAAAGAGATTGAAATGTGGATGTGGAGAAGAATGCTTGGATCAAAGTGGTATGACAAGATTTATGAACGAACAGGCACTAGGAAGAATAGGTGAGGGAAGATCCTTGTATCTATAACACAACTTTGAGAAGGAAAAGAATGTGGCATGGTCACGTGCTAAGAGGGCACAGTTTGCTGAAAGCCGTTATCGAAGGAGCCGTGGAGAGTACAAATAAAAGAGGAAAAAGACGAGTGAATATGGTAAACGATCTAAACGATGCGAGAGGTTACGTGGATATGGAAAGAAAGGCAATGGGTAAAGACGAATGGAGATGGCAAAACAGAACCTGCGTATAGCAAAAAACTCGACAACAACACATTTTCAAAAAGTAACGGTTTACAAATTTGATTAGGACAACAGGCGACTGTTATTTAGCGGTTGCTGTTTATCCCAGTGGTGTTGCTATCTTACCTTGTAAATGGCAGCAAGTTTTCCTTTGTCTCTCTTCTATATCTTTTATATTCCCCCTTTAATCTATTTTTGACACTCGCCTTTAATTCCTTACCATTCCGTATCATTTCTTTTGCGTTTACCTTACGTTCGGTGTTAGATCTATATTTACCTTTGTAGGGACCTATAAGTATAACGTCTTTATTTTATTTTATTTTCCGGACTTGCTACATTTCCTCTTAGTGTCTGTTACTTCTTAATTTTTCCCAAAATGTTTGATTTTGTGCGAGATTGCTTTCGTTTTGTTTTCCGGTGACCGTCCAATAATTGTCAACCAATCGTAGGTACTTGAATGACGGGCGGAAAATTATTTTGGGATTTTTCCTCAATTTGAGATCGTTGAAGTGGGAATACGCAAGGTACTTATTTTTAACGAGTCTGAGTCGATTCCTAGGAAGAAAAAAAAACACCAACGTTGGTTTGTCGATGGCCTCCGGGATCGAACTCGGCACCTTAGTTGTAAGATGGTGTCCATACCACTAACCTACCCCACATCAGGATCTTATAATTATTTGATAATATAATGTATTAGTCACGACTACGCATTTATACCCTCTACTTCAAGGTCTCCACCATCTTGTAAGTCTTCCCTTTCTGTGTTCTTATGTGTTTGTCAGTTTTTCAGGGCTCTGTTGTTGCTATACATCTGGATTCACTACTTCGGACAACATCCGAACAACAACTCCGAGATCCGTGGACAAGAAACAATAAGATTGCAAGATTTCATCCCCTAGTCTTACCATTCTCTTCTAAGTATCCTCCCATCACGCGTCATCTCCCCTGTAATTCGTATTTGACCCTCCGAGTCCATTCCTTACACCTTCCACTCTCTACCACATATTGGGCGTCGCTGGGGTGATTCAAGTCCAATTATTGTGATTGGCGGTGTGTTGAAAAATTCATAAAGAAGGAGGTTAGGGGTTAGTGGAAATGATGGTTTTTTTAGCGTAATACAACGAAGTTGCGGTAACGCTTATATGCTCAATATTCCGTTTCTGTCTGTCTGTCGTTCCTTCGAGATCTCGGCCCCTGGGCCACCTAGAGACTTTGAGTTTTCGCTATTTAATAGCGCTGCTATGGTCTATATTTGCCCGTTTCCCATTATTTACGGTTGTGTTACGCGGAAACACCCACGCGTGGGTTTTGAAACATTTTTAAATATTGGAATCAACGGAAACGAGATTCGTTTCACGACGGTTGAGGAAGAGCGGGTACATTTCTTTACGCTAAATTTTCAGGCAGTCAGCCCTATTTTTTTTATTAGAAGACTACTGATTTTTGTAATAAATTTGTGCAGAAGCAGGTTAACCAGAGTTGTGTAATAAGTTTAACGCGTGTTGTCCGATTTCGGAAAAAGGTTCGTCAAGTTGAAAGTGCAAGCAGTTTAAGGTGGTCGCTTTTGATTTTAAAGATTTTTTGCGTGATCGGTCATTTCTGACAATTTATCATGGGTGTTTCCATGACAGTACGTAGAATTTACCAATTGCTATGATTACGACGACGCCAAAATTACTTACCGATCTAAAAACAGAACAGCAAAAATACTTACCACGCCTTTTTAAAACAATCAGTTCAACATCAGTTTAATCTTTATTTATTGTCACATTAAACGTACAATTTGTGCTGTTATTTCATACAGAAAGAACACGTTCTTCATTTAAACCTGAAGCAATAGAGATCAATTCAATGTGTTTGAAGATATGCTTTCGTTTTTCTTAACACATTCCAATTACAATTTTTTTCTGTAAAGAATCTTCGACATACCATTCGGCCACCGGCGAATACATCGCTCATAAAGTCATATAGGAAGTGCAAAGCTAGCAAACTACATCAGACACATGCACAATTTTATGGAATTATTAATTTCAATTTTGACAATTAAACTGGTTACCTAGTGATGTACACCATACCACTTCGATCATTTGGATTTATTCTGCTCGTTAATTTCTTAGTGCATATTTATAATTTTAATTTCGATCGCGCAAAAAATGTTATAAGCACGTCGAACGTTAAGGGTTACCGTTCTCAGACAATAATTGGAGTCGTCGCTTCGCTCCTCCTCCAAACAATTGTCTTCGAACGGTAAAAATCCCTTACCGTTCTCCATACTTCTTAATACAGGGTGTTTTTTTGGGAGCTTTAGTTAAAAGTTTCTGGGAAAGTAAAATAGGTAGGTTTTTGAAAAATTGTACTTAGGAGTTACTCTGAAAGCCGAATCGATGTAAAATATTGTCAAAATGGTCGCACTTCCGGAAACACCGGAAGTAGATAGTAACTTCGTTATTTTAAATGACAACCCCTATTTTTTATTGCATTTTTGGATTCTACGTGAAATTTCACTTCTTTTGATACCCATATGTCGATATCTACCATTTATGGTTTTTAAGTTATTTTGACTTTAAGAAAAGAAATGGCGGATGCAGATGGTACCTTGATAATTGATTACTTGCAAACGGTTGTAGTCATGGCAACCTATCAGTGCATAGAGAATGAATAGGGCTTTCTTTTAGTGCACTTAAAAAAAAGTTAAGTTGCGTATGACCGCCCCTATGGATATCCAAATTTATGAAACTTCAAAGACTAAAAACTCAGTTTTTTTAAATGGAATGACCATGTTCTTACTATTCCATGAGATAGAGAATCGAAATGGGCATATTTTGACAATACATGTTCCTATAGCTATCTTTAACAGTTTCTGACTTATTCCCATTTTATTGAATTGACACTATTTTTTTAGGTTTTTCTTTTTAGTAGTCGGCCATGATTCTATAACAATTGAATTTTAAACAAATCTAGTGACACTAATCCATCACCCACTGTTTATAGGTTAACATAAGTTTTTCAAAAATCGAAAAATGACTCGCAGTGGTTTCACCTATTTTGGAATTTAATTGTTATTTATGGTGAAATGGGCAGAATCGCGGCGCGTGCTTTCCGTACATTCATTCGAAAACCGGAACGAAATTGTATGAATTTTGGAAATTTTGTACCCCTAATGCACTACAAACCGTTGAAGCACAAGTGATACAAAGCTCTAGAAGAGAATATTTAAGAAAATGAATTGAATTGCAAATGCAAGATTAACAAAATAAATTCAATGCAAAATATAAAAAACTTCGTTGAAACATTTTTGGTATGGAATTGTTGCTAGAACAGATATCGCATTACCTCTCTTAATTTGTAGACTTATACGTTGTTTAAGAAATTCAGTTGAACGACTCTGTTTAGATTTTTCAAAAATTTTCTGTCCTATATCCTTAATAAATGAGTTATTTATTAATGAATTATTTAGACTAGAACTAGAATCAGTGGTATTAAAGAATCCATTCCTTGATTTGTTTAAAATTCGATTGTTATAAAATCATGGCCAACTACTAAAAAGAAAATGCGAAAAAAAATGGCATCAATTGCGAGATCAATTCAATGAAATGGGAATAAATCAGAAACTGTTAAAGATAGCTATAGGAACATGTAATATCAAAATATGCCAATTTCGATTCTCTATCTCATGCAATATTAAGAACATGGTCATTCCATTTAAAAAAACTGAGTTTATAGACTTTGAAGTTTCTTAAATTTGGATCTCCATAGGTGTGGTTGTACGCAACTTAACTTTTTTTTAAGTACACTAAAAGAAAGCCCTATTCATTCTCTATGCACTGATAAAAATGGGTTGTCATGACTATAACCTTTTTCAAGTAATCAATTATCAAGGTACCATCAGCATCCGCCATTTTTTTTCTTAAAGTCAAAATAACTTAAAAACCATAAATGGCAGATATCGACATATGGGTATCAAAAGAACTGAAATTTCACGTAGAATCCAAAAATGCAATAAAAAATAGGGGTTGCCATTTAAAATAACGGAATTACTATCTACTTCCGGTGTTTCCGGAAGTGCGGACATTTTGAAAATATTTTACATAGATTCGGCTTTCAGAGTAACTCCTAAGTACAAATTTTCAAAAACCTACGTATTTTACTTTCCCAGAAACGTTTAACTAAAGCTCCCAAAAAAACACCCTGTATACTATTGTCAAATTTACAAATTTGCATAGGATTTTATACGCGTGCCGCTCCAGAAAAGAAAAGGGAAGAGAACAGAACTTATATTCGAAAAAACAAAGCAAGTTAAGATAAGACACGAGTGTTCAAGCAGATAAGACTTGAAACGCTACAATGTGTATTTTGGCTATTAAGCAGGGTCTTAAGTAATGCATCTCTTCTTATTTGAATTGCGCTGGAGGTTGTGATTTTGATATTTACCCAAGATGGTTCGCACGAGTCCATGTGAAGTGTAAGGGAATTAACACCCCATCTAAGATTGATGACATGTAATACTTGAAAATGTTGGGTCGATATCTATGAATTGCACAATCCAGGAATGTTTGATGAATGCTAATTTGATTGCTAAATTCAAAAGAGGGGTTAGATTTTTATCTTGTATATTTTCTTTTTCTCCGCATCATTTGTTGACGGTGTTTATTCTATGTAGGATAAATAAACCGAGTTTGTTTTTGCATAGTGAGTACTTGCGTTAGTTGAAGCGGACGGTTTTATTTAAATCTGTGCTTTTGCCTGCAATACACTAACGGTGTGTCTACATGCAAGCGTAGCTATCTTTATTTTCCGGCCAGGACATATTCAAGTAATTACATTTTTACTGGTACCAATTCTCTGATCTAGTCTATTACAATGACGCAGACGGGAGAGATTTATGTAGTTGCTTTAAAATTATTTCGGCACTAATGGCATTTTGCGAGACTAATGTACCCTTAAATTTTTAATGTCAAACAAAATGTGAGCATAAAGTGGAATAAATAATAATATACTTTTATAATTTTGTTTTCTACATAAAGATCGCGAACGTTGTTGAAAATATCACATTCAAGTTTTAATAGGTAGGTATGCTGGACATGTTTTGCATATTTCAGACCTCTTTAGCGTGCTACGACCAACTGAAAAAATGAGATTTTCTAATTAATTAAGGAAGTAGCTTTGGTGTAATTATTTAGACTGCAAAGGTTACAAAATGGAAACTGGTGCTCAATTTTAGGGTAAGAATTCCCCAAAGTGTTAATGAAAATTCAATGTCTAACGATCAATTTTAGTTACGACATTGAAGTTTACTAGGAAACAAAATTGAAAGACGTTCTGGGAATATTTCTTTATATCGTTACAATTCGTGAAGTAATGTGCCACGTGTAACATCTCACAAAGCTTACCACGAACTCCGAATAAAAGTCACTCCAAAAATGCACGGTCCAGTTCTTGTAATCTCACAAAGAATCTCTCCAGATATTCAGAATAAAATCTGCTCTTATAACTCGATAAAAATTCAATTTTAACGCACTAATGCACAGTACCAGTAGAAACAACTCGCCCAAGTAGAGGACACGATGGCTCGCAAATTCCTCTTGAAATCTCGCTCGGTAGAAATACCGAAATGAGTCCTATTTTCTGCAAAAAGCAATCGCGACTAGCGTACCTTTTTAAACGAATAGTAAACCTGCATTTTTGTCACGTGCTCAGATTTTCACAGAATGAACCGAAACAATTAGGTCCAAAGGAATCGTGGCAACCACGCTCGCTTTTCAGCAATACATTTCTTGATATAGCTCGTTCTCGCCAGACATATCTTTGTTCAAGTTCACTGTGAAGCGGTACATGTGTACAATTTCCTATGCTTACCAAAGTATAAAAGAAAAAAAATTGTTGACTCTAAATCGACTACCCGCATTTACGTATACATGATTAGGCACTGAGTGGAATACATTAATTATTTTATAACTAAAATGTTATAGAATAGGTAACAAAAAAACACTGGAATCTAAGCGGACTCGGGTTTTAAAATTCACCTTATACTAGGAAGGTTAATGGAAGGTAATAAATAAAATCTACAAGGTTAAATGAATGTTTAGACAATTTCAGCTACTTGCACTTTTCTGAAAGTAAAAGTACACAACAAATTCTATGCATGAGCATGGACATTTAATAAATTTAAAAAGTGGGCATTTCTTTAAGGTAAAAAAGTTTCAGTCACTTGCACTGTTTTTAAGGTAAAAATATAAAAAAACCTATCGATTGTGTAAAAATTAAGAACATTTTTTTAATGCATGTGTCGGAAGCATCTATTTTGGATTTAATTTTTCAATTTTCTCGCAGAAATAAGTGAAGTATAATTTTAAAGCTGTAAAAAATGCCAAGGTTCTGGAAGGTCTTTCCAAAAAAATGTTAGTAGTGATAATGTAAAAAATTTATCTGGATGATTGGAGGAGTCAGTGGAATATGTGTAATTTTTACGCAGGGGTTTTCAATGAGCATTATTTGTTCTTTAATTGTTTTTTTCATCTAGATAGCGAGCGCAAGGATAGGATTGCAGTCGGTTTAATAGTAACATTTCTTAGCTCATTGTGAAGGTAAACTCGCCGTGAAAATCTTTGATTCAGTTTATTTTGAAATGACTAACAATAAATGACATCCGTGTAGGATTGGTAGGAAAAAAGACACTAACCGACAGAAAATTTACACGTCGCCATTTTAAAGAGAATTCGCGTAAAGGGAGTCGTTCAGAATTGAATTAAGATATAGATAAAATCTCACAGCCATCGGGGCATGATTTTAATTAAAAGGGAAATTAGAATTAGTTCGGTGTAAGAAATTGGAATTAGTTGTGTTTCTTGAAAAATTGTTTCGAATCATCGCAAAAACATCTCTTGCGGTCGCCGATGTAGTTCTCAAGACAAATAATTCAATTCCCAACTGTATCTTCAAAGTCACCTAGTTCACCTATACCTTGACGTCCACCCCGCCGACGGCGAAAGGCAAACATTTGCTTTTTTTTATTTTACTGATCTGCTTACTACCCTTAAATCATTCGGCTTCCTGTCTGTATAAAATAAATTCTTGCCAAAAGACTGGTATGAAATAACGAAGCTGCGTTAACTTTGAACTGTTGCAATTTCCTCAAAGACTATGCCAAGCATTTGTGTGGAATTTGTTCTGTTTGTTGCCGTAGGGTGTGTTTTATATAAAAATAAAGTACTAAAGGAACGTCTGTTAAAATGTAATGTTCACTTTTCAAAGCCACGCTCAGCCTATACGCATTCTTGTAGTTTACAAACTTTTCGTTTAACCTTCGGGCTCTGCCCTAGAAACCTAAATGTGCACCCTACTCACCTGCTCAAACGACGAGTCGGAATTATTCAACCTGCGCGCTATTGCAATCGCCAAATGAGCTACCGTGACGATTGCCGCCAACGCTATTGCGATCAGTTTCGACAGCGGTAGCATCGTGTGCAACGCTAGGAGCAGGGCGAAAAGCGGCAGGGGTGCGTATATTCCAGCGAGTAGCAGAGCCGCGGTTGTCACCGCTCCCGTGACGATCAGCGACGCCACCAGCGACCATATTTTCGACTCCAGCATTGGCGGAAGCTGCGATCCCACGAATATCAGCATTAGGGCAATGGTCACCAAGGATAGTGTCACCACTGGAAGCAGATGGTCTTGAATGTCCTGCAATAAAACAGTTCGTGAGCGTTTCGGCCTTTTAATTTGAAAGCGCGTTCCTTTTTCACAAATTCCCCCTTCTAACAAAAAGGAATGAATTGACTTACTGCATAGCTTATTGTGGGACGTTTATGAGCTTTAGAGATAGCGCGGTTGTTAGCTTTGAAAGAGAATGTGAAGTTAAACACGGGAAATAAACTTCATATAATTCTAGGGCGATTTGTGCTAACAGAAAGGGCAATCTATCAATGTTTTATATAAGAATCTGTTTGTTAGGAAAAGGCACCTCGAAGTCCTTCAATATTTTATAAACGCCCTTCCATGACATGGATGAATATATTCAAAAGATGATATTTATCGCTAGAGATGCTCTGAATACACTTGAACCAGTGACAAACAAAGCAATCTTGTACCGAATGTCGCGCACATCCCCATTATTTGTTGTTCGATTTTCACAAACCAAACGTAACTTCGCGAAAGGCACTTCAGGCTGACGTTAAAACAATCATAATTATATACTTCCCTCTTTCAGTGGTAATAAGTTTACTTAATGTACCTACATGTGAGATTTCATTTTTCCTTGCACTTCCATGTTAATTGGTGCCACAAGAGTCGAGTTGAGAGACTTCATGCGACAGGAAGTGAAAAATGAAATGCTACCTTCCCTTGCACGTGAAGGCATTCAGTCAACTACACCACCACAACAACAATTAAAATGTAATGGTAGGAGGGGAGAATGCCAGAATAAAAGCAATATTCAAGAAGATAACGCTCCCACAGCTTCTGAATTGTTATCAAATGAGTGGGGAAGAACTTCGGCATTTTTTAAACAAAAATCACGACTCTGCTAAATGTTGGAAAGCGAAATTAATGACCTATGAAGATAGGCAGAAAGTAGAGAAAATTGCTTGCTTCCGGTGCTTGAAAATTGGTCACTCCTCTAGAAATGCAAGAAGAAAGTCCCAGTCATTATCAAATTATGTACTGACTCAAAAAATAAGCAGAAGTCATCGAAGGAAGAGGATGTCAAGTACATCAGAATCTCTATAATCAGTGCGCTTGTAGTATTCTCCTAAGTACTTTGAAAGTTAGTATGAAACCAAGAAAGTAGTCTCAGTTTGGATAATTGGAGACACCGGAAGAATTATATAACCACTGGAGTAGCACGGCAAGGAAATGCTGTAAAAATTTGAGAAGAATTTCTCTTTGGAGAAAAGATGTCGTCACGCGAAAAGTACGATAAGTTCGTAGTATGACTAAAACCTTTACACAGAAAAAGCAAGCGCTTTGGTTTCAAACTGTTGGCAAAGAACAAGGATTAATTTTGCTCTTGAAGGACCTTGGTTAAATGAACTCCAAGAAAAAGGAATAATGATTTCAGACGTCCTCATCTAAGAACCATTAGCTTGCAAACGAATTGTGGTCATACCATAGCTGGGAAGGTAGTCAAACTGAAATGTGGACTGATAGCGACACAGACTCAAAAGGGGATGGAATCGGCTACAATGAACTCCAACAACCAACGTTTCATGATTACCGAACTCTAGGAACATTTCCCACAAATTCCACGAAGTTGAGTTCGTGAAATTGTACCACAAATTTTGTGCCAGGGGGATTCCAAAAATCATTACGGAAGATCACAGAAAACAAGGGCTAGGTGCATCGCTAACCTTCCTTAACGCTTACAATAAACACTGTTACCAAAAAGCCATCCACTTGTCACAGCTCTAATTTATGACTCATCTGTATCATGGATACGGTGGAGTCAACTTCATTCCTAACAACTTGAGGGAAAAATAGTGGATATTTAACTCCAGCAGGGCGGTGTTAAAAGTAATACGGATCTGCAAGGCCTGCCTTCGTCACTCAGTACTAAACCACTAAAAGTGGATCCAGTTTCCTTACCAAATAAGGGAAGATATCGGATAGGGATCCGTTTACCACCACTGGAGTGGATCTTGCAGTGCCCAATTATTTGAAGGAAGGAAAAACCCGGACCGTGCACAAGTGTGCAGTTTATCGATGTGTGGATTAAGATCTGGTATGCAGTTTGTCTACCGAAGCACTTATTTCCTTGTATGGAACGTTCAATACAATTTTCTCAGACAACGGAACACATTTCGTGGGAGCGGCTAATTTGTTTAATAGTATCGATTGGGAAGAAGTGAACAACAGGTACTGTGGACCTTCATGTCACCTGCATCTCCCTGGTTTGGGGGTTAGTGCGAAAGGTTATTTTGTTTGGTAAAGGACCTCCTCAAGGAGATATTAGGAAGATCAAAACTTGATTATGATCAGATGAGGACTTGTCTGACCAGCGTTGCTACCACCATAAATGAGCGACTTCTCATAGTGGTTACAGAAGATAACGGCGATCTACATGCTATGAGTCCTTTTATGTTCATTAGGTACCTTAAAATAGGATCGTTTTACCTTGAAAAAGCAGAAGGCCGCCCTGAAAGATAGAACTGAATGCATGAAGTGAAGAAAAAGGTGCAAGAGCAAGTTCGTGAGGTCATCGTAGTCTCGAATGGCCAGGCCATATAGTATATCCGGGATGGATCTTCAACCACCGCCTCAGGGTTTATATTTTTTTAACTCATCGATTACTTGAAAAATTGAAGCGGTCCCTAATTGTCTTTAGTGATATTAATATCGTTAATAGCACCTCCATTACCAAACATGTTCATTACAATGCGTATCATATGAGGTAACTACATGAAAGAATGAAAATTACCTTTTTCTTGAGATTGAAAGAAAGAAAGAAAGTTCATTTTTCCAAAGCACAAAAAAAAACAGAAAGAAAGTTATAAAAATAATACAGTCAAACATTTTTTTAATAAAATTAGACTTAAAATGCGCTACGGATAGGTACCTCCTGGAGGTTACCCTCAGAAATTATATGGAATGTAGTGATGGTGAACAGGACCCCATATTAGAAGGTATTCTTTATACAATAGTATAAAAAAAAAACTTGTAGGTATTTAAAGAAAAAATTCACAAGACTTTATATCTAACGGGCCATAGAGAAGCTTAAACATTCCTACTGATATAACATTGCTGTATTGTGGAATTCTACTACGGCCAGATTCAAAATGCTTGGTTTACAATCCTTCCGTAAAGCGATCATCTCCAACCTCCTGGAGAACAGCTGTTAATATGTAGAGTACGGGTAGAACTAGACTGAGAACGCATATTGTGTGTAGGTATATTGTGAGTAGAAACCAATTTCGAAAAAAATTTTTTTTTCCGGGTCGATCTGAGACAATTTTTTTTTCGGGCCTCAAAAAAAGCACCTTTCTTTTTTACCAAAAATCGACTACACCAAAATTTCTCGGGAAAACACATTTTCTTATTAATTTTGGGGCGTAGAATCTAAAACAATTCGTACTTTTTCGATTAGACTTCTCAATCAAAAGTTATGGACTAGAAACCAATTTCGAAAGAAAATTAAAAGGGCCGTAACTTTTGAATTAGTAGCCCAATCTTGGAACTGTTTGAAATTATGGATTGTACAGGCCACATTCTATGAGAAAATTTTTTTTCCGGGTCGATCTGAGACAATTTTTTTTCGGGGCTCAAAAAAAGGCAGTCCTTTTTTTACCAAAAATCGACTACACCAAAATTTCTCGGGAAAACACTTTTTCTTATTAATTTAGGTGCGTAGAATCCAAATCAATTCGTACTTTTTCGATCAGACTTCTCAATCAAAAGTTATAGACTAGAAACTAGTGATTTTAAATTACACGTTTTTTTTAAAGTGCGTAATATTACGTGTAAAATTACCAATTGTTTATGTTTTTTGTAATTTTTGTAATTTATGTAACTTACCATTTTTAAAAGAAAACCGTAATTTTATAGTAAAATTACCAGTAATTTATGTTTTTTATGTAATTTACAAATATTTTTGTAAAATTACCTGTTATTTATGTTTTTTATGTTTTTTTTTCAATATTGTATAAACCTTTTTGAATTTTGTGAGTGTTTGAAAATAAAAACACTTGTTGAATTATATATTTTGGTGTATTAAATAAAATAACCAAGCAGTAGGTATTTCGCCATCACGCGTCGTTTGGAGGAAGAAGCTCCAGATCGCGAATTAGAGGCTGTATCATCTTAATTAAAACAAACTAAATTCAACGGTGAACCGTTTACGTTGGTAGTACCGTTGATGGTCTGTGGTAGTACCGATCAAAATGTATCAAATAGGTATTACATTAAATTTTATGTAACTTACAAAAATTACGGTTTTTTAAATTAAAAACGTAAGTTACGTAAGTTTCATAAAAGACATAAATTACATTAAAAAACCGGCCTCTTGTAAGTTACGCGTAATATAACCGTTTTTTATGTAACTTACAAATCGTTATTTTACAATCCACATCACTAATATTGTGAGTATTGAATGTTATATGTTTTCAGGTTAATTTTAAAAAAAACATCCATTCCACCTTTCGCTCGCTGAGGTTAACGTTAACGTGTGCTGAACTTCGCCTCTTTATTTTGCAGTTAATCATGTATATCAAAAACTAATTAAAATAAAGACACTTATTATTAATGACAAAAAAATATGTCACCAATCTTGATTCTTCATACCTAGTGGCACTTAATTGTATACAGAGGCGTTTAGTCTGCTGGCACTGTTATACAAATAGGTAATCGATTGTTCTCAAAACGGGGCATATATTTTAATAATCATGTAAAAACTAAATTACAAACGCAGAAGTACGTTTTTACGTTCAATAGAGCACATTTAAAAACCATTAAGCTGGCATGCAACTTTTCGTGTTTACAGTACCTACCGATACAGCTCTTTTCAATCAATTAACTTTCATTATCACTCACTCGCTTTGTACATTTTACGCGTTTGAATTACAAACGCAATCTCGTCCAATATTAGATGACATTTACCCTCGTTAAAGTACGACATAATCGCGAATTAAAACTTTTTAATAACACTTGAAACTGTTTAAGAGGCATTAGGTCTAAAAACTTGAAGGGCATAAATCTGACAATAAAATTTAATTCATCCAGAAGCCAAGGTAAAGAGGGATATTAAAAGAATATTGTGCAGTGGTTCACGTGAGAGGGCGAAGAAAATTTATTCCGAAATTTCCCTTTACCCGGAGAAAGTAATTTTAGAGACGTCATTTTGTTTGTCACTATTTCATTTATGTGTAAATGTTTAGGAAATCGGGGCTGGTAATATTTTGTTGTGGGCGCTATACGTATTTAAATGAAAAAGCTGTCAATATGAATCTGTTGGAAATCCGCTTGTGATGGACGAGTGTATTTGTGGTTATTTCCCTTACACTTAAAGTAGCCAGGTTCTATAGTGCTATCAAGAAATTTTTTTTTGGGAACATTTAACAAATTTTAAAAACTAAAGCACGGTGACTGCGTGTACGTCCAGTAGCAACGGTTTATCTTCTGTCATCGTTCTCTCATAGTTTTTTCCTAACCTCTCATCGTATTCTTTTCTAGATTACTCTGTTTACCTGTTTACACGTTTGAGCTTCTGTGTTCTTCGAAATAGATAATAACCTCTAACCATAAAATTGTTCTCCAGCAATCCTCCACCTTGCCAAAGTAGCATCCAAGATGGTGGATTCAAAATGGAAACCAAGATGGCGGACCAACTACCGAAATAACCCTGTGCAACTGCCGAAATACTCCTGAGGGGTCACCACCTTTTCCGAATTATTAAGGTTCTTACAATTATTGTCACACTTGTATCGAAAGGATAACCTTTTCTACTACAAGTAAAAGTTTAACACCCTAAAATGTTGGTTATTCGGTCATTAATTATTGCTAAATTAAATAACGACAGAGAAGATCAAATGTGTTTAATGATATTGATGTCATGCCTACGGTTCAATTGCAGGTGCTTCTTTCAATGCAAGTATTTAGCTTTTATTTGTTTTCCTATTATGTTTACGTTCCTTATGTACGTCGGCATATCAGAAAAAGTTATTCGTTCTGCCCCGATGTTCAAGTCAACATACGAATTATTTATTATTTTCCGACGTAGTTCGTTGCAAAGAGTAAACCTTGCACATCATCGTATTGTACGAGTATAAATTGTCTCAGATGATAAATAAGTTAATAAAATTTAAATTTTGATATTGCAGCAGGTTAGATCTTGTATATAACATTTCACTAATGGATGCATTTAACGGTACTGTTTATATTTTTCACTAATTTTCTCCTGAATGATACAACTATACTTCTAACAACCTAAAGATATTTAGTACACTAAAAAAAGGTATTATAAATGAAAGGATTAATATTACGCAAATTGCCGAATAAAAAATGTTAAGTTGTTTATAACCCATGGACATGAATGGTCATTTACATAAAAGTCAGGAAACTGACACATTACTGGCGAGCAAATATTGAAGTACGAGGCCTCTTTAGGGCCGAGTACTTTAATTTCCGAGTCCGGTAATGTAATTTTACTGACGAGTTTTGTCAATTTTACCCGAAATCGTATTTTAATATAAAATTTCAATTGTTATATAGAACTGTTGACTAATGTCAATCTGTAAGTGATGACAGGAGTCATTATAGATTTAGCAATATATAAAATGGTAGCGGTTTTACAGACTCCAGGAAAAGTTATAGGTTAGGCTAGTTGTTACTGTCGTTAGTAAAAACCGTATTAGTACCATAGTGACAATGCAAAATGACATAGTAAGATAAGTTTTTTTTTTGGCCTAGACCAGTGGTCATTCAACCAGCTTCGTTATGTATAGTTTTGTTTTATTTTTTATTTTTTATTTTATTTTATTTTATTTTATTTTTATTTACAAAGTTATATTTCCATCTGCTAAAAATTCTATTAAACATGAAAAAGCGTTTTTGTTATTATATGCAAGAATTGACATAACATCTATTTTATTTATGTAAAATCACATATAGGGTTACGAAATAATGAACAAGTGGACAAACTCGCTTGGTTGGTAACCAAATCCGACACTTACAAAGGCAGCTATCAAATACCTTTGTGTTCAAACAGGAAAGCGCATTTATTTTCATTGTGGGCTGCAGACTGGCAGGAATTTTGTAAGATAAGTTGTTTTACATCTTACCTCTGAATGTAGAATACATGTTGTAATTAGTAGTAAAAGACACCCGGCGATTGCGACGCACAAACAAGCCACAAACAATGCGTGTTTCAGTCGGTTGCAGTACTTCTTGTAGATTGTATCCAATTCCGTTCCTTGAACTGCAATTAAAACACAATTATTAGGTTTCGCGAGAACAAATTTGGTGACTAGGCAGGTAACTTGATTTTTACTAAGGTTAACAATAACAATAGTGAACAATAGTATAATAGTTTCTTTCTTTTCAATAGGCTGCGATGCGCTTTAAACATGGGTTGTATCAGGGGTAGGTACAATAGTTACTCCGCTCGTAATCGGAAACCAGACTTTTGATCCGGCTCGTATTCAATAGCACTGATCCTTGAACTCGTAAAAATCGATGGGCGAAGGTTTTTACCCTTTTCGTTCTCGAGTTAGACGAGAAACAGGCAGACATGCGGACAAACGGACAAAACCATCGCATAAGGAGAATTTTTGTTCTTTCGAAAAATAAATAACTATTTTATTTGTTTATGCACTTATTATACAGAATGTATCCTTTCTATAGGTAAAATTACTACGTGATGCTTCATTATTTTCTGAGCAAAAAAGTCCAATAAAGATTTTCCTCTAGATGACTCCTTCAGGTAGATATTAACACTTTTAGATTTTGAAATCTGGTAACACGACAGATTGTGACTGATGCAAGGCATTCTACAATTTATACTTATTATTATTATTAAGTAAGAATGTAGAAGGATATTCAGAGACTGTAACACCATAATGGGAATTATTATGCAACCAGAGGACGTTGAAACCTCGGTGTGAAATATTCCATAAATTGGAGTCGCGTTCGGTCAAGGATAGATTAATTAAACGGGCTGGATTCTGTTTCGCTAAAAGAAAATTTAGTTGTGTTGCCGTTAGTGAACAAAAGGTGATTAAATTTGATTGTTGGAACATGTTCCCGCAGTTGAAAAAGCAATCTTCTATCTCCTAGACTTAATAAATATAAAGTTGAATAAGACCCCTTTTTACCAACTCATTTGAACATTAAAATCCAATTCTTCAACTCAGTTAGAAATCTCATTAATTAAATTTATCTTTATACGAAACGAACACAATTCTGTTAATATAAAAAATCACTTGAAATATACTTTCAAAAGATTTTTTTATTAACATGTGATTTACAAAGACATATTTTTTAAAAACCCCAATTCTCTGTTAAAGACTCGGTTAGCTAAATATAAATCAAATGTTTAACGTAAGTGTAACTCATTAACTTTAATTTTGAACCACGCACTATACTCTGTGGTGGTCACCAACCGAATCCTTCTTTCTGAACCTACCTGATTTAGTCCCCACGCCCTTTTTAATGTTTCAGCACGCCCCAAAATGGGGCTAATAATTAATCATCAGCCATCATTAATCATTAGTCAATCTGATTTATTTAGTCCGACGAATTACGCGCGCGTTAAAGCCACCAATAGAACTGCAGCCTAGCGATTCTCACGGAGCTGTATGATCTCATTTAGTTTTAGTCACGTAGAAGACAGTAAGATTGGATTACGGCCCGTCAGACTGGCACTGGTAACTTTCCCAGATGATTAACAGATCGTGACGCATCCGGAATTACCCATAAAATACATATACTGCCAAATTAATTCGGAAACTATTGACTTTTAAAATTTTGCAAATAACATTCTGGAATTTTGTTTTTTTCTTTCCCCCCATACATCTAAGGGTAAATCCCAAATGAATGTAAAGATATCAAAAAACATAGAGAAAGAAATCTCCCCCTAAAATGATCAAAAGGTATATCCCCAATATCTCAAGAGTGTATCCTTTAAAAGTGTAATCTACCTTCCGTAATATGCATTTATTGTGACTGTAAATTAATTTGAATATATCCACTTCTAATGTATCTAATAAATTACATGTCATTAGTGGCACACCCCTAATCTCCCCTGTTAATAATTAATGTTTACAAAAGCTTTTAATGCGAATATTTACCATCTCTCCGGCTCCTACGGTACAGATTATCAAATTTCGAAATTAACGCCTTGTTCATACATTGTCCCTAAATTTACCAAAAACACGTTCTGTGGCTGTTAATTGTCCTTTCTCTAAACATTAATGTTAGTCGGCATCTTTCTATGTTAAGATTTCAGTCTGTGCAGTGTATATGAATGCAGCTTACTTGCACATCCCGCTTATAACTCCGTTTATTAAACGAAATGTAGTTTCGTAACTTTGTATAGCGGAATTTCTATGCTGGGATGTAATTCATACACCTTCATATCGGGAACTTTATCAACTATTATGAACATGGCTCCCTGGCAAATGTCGGTATGCTATAAATAACGTCACATATCCTTTTTTAATTTAGTGGAAATTGTTCAAAAGCGTTACAGTCTGGAAGCTGTCTTAAAGCTTCCACGATTACTCCACATAGTTATCAGAAATTCCAAATTGATTGAATCCTTTAAGACCAATTAAATCAAATTCTACGTTGTACAAATTCTTTCTACATTAGATTTTAGAGGTATTCAAAGTTTACTTTGAAAAATAAATGGAACTAACCCTGGACTACAGAATTTTTTTCCTAATTATAATGAGCTAGATTACGACGTTTGCCTTTACTTGTGCGTGGCAATAGTTTCTGAGACGATGATTTTCATACACTCAGTTTAAGGAACGTGTATTGCAGTTTAGTATAATTGGAGAAAATCCTTAATGAGCACAGCCACAAAATAATGATTTCAAAGACGGTTGCCACAGTGAGACCGATTGAACTAAGTTTATTTATCGATAGTTTTAGCTACAATTTCGCCTCTTTCATATACTATTTAATTAAACGTTACCACGAATCCTACGGAATTTGTTCGACCAACACATTTACTTTTGCCTTCGAAAAAAAGTACATTTACTCTACACGTAGCACACAATTTATAAATTTCCTCTTCGTTTGATCACGTAATAGTTATCCTTTGGTGTAAGTATATTAAAAACGTAATTGCTCCGGCCGCTAGCTCGACATAAAATTTGTTCACGGTGACTTTCAATTTTCCTGAACCACCGTTATGATTCGAAACAATCGTTCAAGAAACACAACTAATTCCAATTTTTCACAACGCACAAATTCTAATTTCTCTTTTAATTAAAATCTTGCAATCTCTCCCCGATGGCTAAGAGATTTCATCTATCTCTTCATTCAACTCTGAACGCTCACAATAGCGAATTTTCTTTAAAATGGCGACGTGTACATTTTCTATTGGTTAGTGTCTTTTTTCCTACCAAACCTACACGGCTGTTAGTCATTTCAAAATAAGCTGAATCAAAGATTTTCACGGCTACTTTAGAAGAAATGTTACTCCATATAGGTACGTATTAAACCGACTGCAATTCTATCTCTGGGCTCGCAATCTAGACGACAAAAACAATTAAAGAACAAATGCTCATTGAAAACCCCTGCGTAAAAAAGACACATATTCCATTGACTCCAATCATCCAGATACACTTCAGAACCTTAATATTTTTTACAGCTTTTTTTTATATCTTTATTGCAAATTTACAATCTACTTCATTTAGAGTATTAAGTAAATGTGATGTATGACTTTGACTTGGAAGGGGAAGTGTCCACTGACAATTCACCTTATAGTTCACTTAGTGTTACGGGGGTAGACCAGCAGGCCAGGTTTTGTTTAATCTTCTGATGGGTGGTCCATCCCTGAAGAGGATTTCTATGAGGACGTTTGGATTACCTGTAATTCGTTGTTGGTAAGCGGCAGAGACAGTGGTGATCACGTCCGTGACATATGGAATTTGAAGGTCTTGATGGAGTATGAAGTTGCTAACGTACCATGGAGCGTTAACGATTGCTCGGAGTGTTTTGTTTTGGAACGCTTGGATTGGTTTTAAATGAGTGGGTTTGGCACAGCCCCAAAGCTGGATACCGTAAGACCAGATGGGTTTCACCATGGTTTTGTACAGCAGGAGTTTATTTCTGAGAGAAAGTTTAGATTTGCGTCCCATGAGCCAGTACATTTGTTTGACTTTGTGATCCAACTGCTTCCTTTTCGTTTGGATGTGTTTCTGCCACGTCAGTCGTTGGTCTAAATGGAGTCCTAAGTATTTTACTACAGTGTTTACAGGTATGGGAGAACCGTTGTTTGATACGGCCGGACAGATTTCTTTGCGTTGGGTAAAAGTGACTTGAACTGATTTGGCTTGATTCTGCCTGTTGAGGGCCCAAAACAAGAGAGGGATAATAAATAAATCTTGATTCGCCATTTGGAATACCATTCACTGAGCATGTTGAGTTGGGATTGCATGTTTACGGAGGAGGTAACCGGATCGTGGTCAGAGGAGAGAATAGCAACGTCATCCGCAAATGCCGCAACTGTCATGTTATGCAAGACGGGTAAGTCGGCAGTATATAATAGGTAAAGGAGCGGGCCGAGCACACTTCCCTGAGGGACCCCAGAATGTATAGGATTTAAAAATTATACTTTACTTATTTTTGCGCGAAAATTGAAAAACTAATCCAAACAAGAAGCTTACGTCACATGCATTAAGAAAGTACACGCGGTTGGATTGTTCTAAATTTTTACAGTGTCGATAGGTTTTTTTTTTGTATATTTTTACCTTAAACACAGTCCAAGTGATTGAAAGTCTTTTACCTTAAAGAAATGCCCACTTTTGAAATTTATTAAATGTCGACGCTCATCTACAGATTTTTTTTGTATACTTTTACTTTCAGAAAGGTGCAAGCAGCTGAAATTGTCTAAACTTTCAATCAAACTTGTATATTTTATTTATTACTTACCTCCGATTAACCCTCCTAATACCAGGTGATTTTTAAAACCCGAGTCCGCTTAAATTCCAATGTTTTTTTGTTACCTATTCTATAACACATTGGTTATAAAATAATTAGTGTATTCCACTCATGTATACAGTCAAAATTTTTTCCCAATTTATACTTTGGTAAGCATAGGAAAATGTACACATATACCAAATATGCTATTGAATTCTCCATCTAATCTAAATGATTTTCGTCCAATCAGTATGCTACCAACTTTATCAAAAACCTTAGAAAAAGTAATTGAGAAACAAATTAGAACCCATTTGTCCTTAAATAAGTTAATCCCGGATGTCCAATCTGGATTCAGATCTATGCACAGTTGTTGCACTGCTCTTTTAAAAATTGTAGACGATATAATTTCCACACTGGACCAGGGTAAAGCAACTATTCTTGTTTTGCTAGATCTCTCTAAAGCATTTGATACGTTAGATCATGCCATGCTTCTAGCTATTTTACATTACGTAAGTTTCAGTCCGGGAGCCATAGCCTTAATTGACAGTTATCTTTCCAACAGGAAGCAAGCAGTTAAAATATCGACTTTTAAAAGTGTTACCCGGGGAGTACCACAAGGGTCCATTCTTGGACCATTATTGTTTCTTATTTACACATGCACCACAGTAAATTGTCTCCAATATACCACATTACATTCTTATTCTGATGATACGCAGATTTACTATTCATTTCCAGCTGCAGATGTAAGTAACGCTTGTAAACGCATAAACGCAGACCTACATGCTTTGCAAAACACATTTCAATCTCACTCTCTACATTTAAATTCAAGCAAATCTACTGCAATATTGTTCAGCGGCGCAAATCAGCGGGAAATGCTAATGTCCCAAATCAATATTAATATTAGGAATGAAGCGATTACTTTTAAATATGTTGTAACTAATCTAGGTCTATATCTTGATAATAAATTGCGTTTTAAAAACCATATTTCTATTTGTCTCCAAAAAGCTTACGGCAATCTTAAAAAGATTTACTCTATTAGACACTCTTTAAATATAAACATAAAAACTCTTCTTTGTAAATCTCTAGTCCTTTCTAAGTTGAATTATTGTGATATACTTTATAATACTTGTCTAGATACTAATGATGAAAAAAAAAAGGTGCAGAATGGATGTATGCGATTAATTTTCGGCAAAAGGAAATATGATAGAATCACGTATAAATTTTTAAATGGTATTATCATTTCAACTTTCAATTTTGGGTTGAGTGGAAGAGCAGGAAGTAATAATTTTTGTTACAATCTGAACTCCGCTCTGTGAGAAGTGAGTAGTTGGTAATAAAAACACATTTTTTTTCGGGTAAGGTGTAGCTCAATAAAGGCATTATTATTATTACTATTATTATTACCGCTTCACAGTGAACTTGAACAAAGATATGTCTGGAAATAACGAGCTATATCAAGAAACGTATTGCAACAAGCGAGCGTGGTTGCTACGATTTCTTCGGACCTAAAGGTTTCGGTTCATTCTATGAAAATCCGACCACGTGACAAAAATGCAGGTTTACTATTCGTTTAAAAGGGTACCCTACTCGCGATTGTTTTTTTTTGCAGAAATAGGGCTCGTTTCGGTATTTTTACGGGGTGAGAGTTGAAGAGGAATTTGCGAGCGATCATGTAGTCTACTTGGGTCAGTTGTTTCTACTGTTAGAGAGGTTTTTTGTGAACCATTGTGCACCAATGTTAGTGCGTTGAAATTGAATTTTTACCGAGTTATAAGAGCAGACCTTATTCTGCATATCTGAAGAGATTCTTTGTGCGATTTCAAGAACTGGATCGTGCATTTTTGGAGTAAATTTTATACGGAGTTGTTACCTTTGTAAGATACACATGGCACGTACATTACTTCACGAATTGTAACGATATAAAGGAATATTTCCAGAACGTCTTTCAATTTTGTTTCCTAGTAAACTTCAATGTCGTAACTAAAATTGATCGTTAAAGACATTGAATTTTCATTAAAACTTTGGGGAATTCTTACCCTAAAATTGAGCACCAGTTTCCATTTTGTAACGGTTGCAGTCTAAATAATTACACCCATGGTATAATAAAAAATTACACCAAAGCTTTTCTATCTCCTTAATTAATTAGAAAATCTCATTTTTTCAGTTGGGCGTAGCATGCTAAAGAGGTCTGAAATATGCAAAATTGAATGTGTTATTTCCAATGTTCGCGATCTTTATGTAGAAAACAAAATCATAAAAGTATATTCTTTATTCCACTTTATGCTCACATTTTGTTTGACATTAAAAATTTAACAAAATAGCATTAGTGCAGAAATAATTTTTAAGCAGCAACAAATCTCTGCCCTCTGTGTCATTCTAATAGATAAGGATCAGAGCATTGGTAACAGTAAAAATGTAATGAATTTGTCCTGGGCGGAAAATAAAGATAGCTACGCTTGCATGTATAGACACATGTTAATGCATATTGCAGGCAGAAATACGGATGTAAAAAAACCGGGGTAGGTTTAGAAATAAAACACTGGATACTGCTTGATTGTTGATTGGTCAATGTTTTTCTTTGATTTGCCAGCAAAAGATCCATTCAAGCGATGTCAAAAAAGATCAAAGCAATGCACTAGAAATTCCAACCCTTTCTATTTACACTGTTGCAGGTTGCATTCGAATGTGTGGTTGACACAGGTACTCTTTGCTCACGGCACTGAAATACAAATATCTACCAATAATCTTTAGATGAATAGGGTTGCCATCTCAAAACTCTACCAACTAGGACAGGAAGCATGAAAACCCCGGATTTAGGGATTATAAACCCGGACAAGGGTGGAACGAAAAAAATTTTTTTGTAATATCTACCCGTCATAGCATTTAAAACGTACATTTAGTTAAGAAAATGAAGTGTACAAAATCTCAATGAAAACAAAAGATATCCTGAGGTTCCTAATCGGCCTTAAAGTTTCCGTATAATTTAGCCGTTTCCCGCCTATTTCTAGCTGAGTTGTAGATAAGAATACCATTCCAGAGACGCCAATAGGCGAGGGGGAAGGAATTTGTCTGTTTCCACGGACCTCGCTACACTATATAGTGTTTTGTCGTCAGTTGCTAAGTGGTAATACACCTTTGCGCGCGTCATGTCAGTAGATAGGCTATGAGAGTTCTGGCCCACTTTTGGTCAAAATCCCATGTTATTTCCCATAAGAAATTCTAAGGTCCATTTCGGTCATTTTTGTATCACTTCTGTCATGTGCGCATGCGCGTCCCGGGCTCGCCGGCAGGGATGTCGTTGGTCGCAGGGTAACACAGCCGGAGTGTGGTATTTCGGAGAGGCGTTGGTCCGGGCAGCCGGGGTGTGGGAACTTTTACCGCCTCAGCTTAATCGACTTATTTCGACAGCCGTGGTGTTGGTATTAGGCCATATATACCTCTTATATATATGGTATAGGCTCTCGGGGTGAGGGACTGTTTTTCCGTCCAATTAGTTTCGCTCCTTTTTTTTCGGCAGCCCGGGTCAAGGTTATTTTGGAAGGCTTCAGTTCGGATCGAGGTTCGAACCTACTTCCCTCCGCACTTACTGCTGTATCAGAGGTCGGATAACCAACTGCGCTACCAGAACTATTACTTATCGACTGATATAGATGAGCCGTGTCTTTCCGTTTGCCTCATATTTTTGACAGTTATGCTTCTCATAAGCGTTGCGGTAAATTTGTAGACGCGGGGATTCGAACCATCGATCTTTACATTAGAACCATCCATCTGAACCACTCGGCTACCGCGCCTTAATCATATCTACGTTAAAACAATCATAGGTAGGTAATTACTTGTGCTATTTATAGAATAAAAGGAAGCATTGTAGAAAAAATCGTTCCCCGATTCTCTAATTATTAAAACGAGAATTAGTCGACGTGTTGTTTAGATTTCCTATAATTATATGACATTGCATCATCCAGCTGTAATACTAGGTAACTTGTACTATCCAAGTCGTACGTGTATGGATGTTCTTCATATTCATTTTGCGATTATGGATAAAAATAAATGTTATATGGAATAGACTTCCTGGGATGGAATGTGTAAAAATGATCGGTCAGCTATTATACAATCGTCCTCTCCCTTACTACTTCATTGTTGAAAGCATTGTAAATTTAATTACGAAGAATAATTTCAAACTCCAATACATAAATAGAACAAATGCAATTCTCGTATCATAGTACGCATTCAAAAATTATACTGGGGCGTATTAGAATTCTTTTTGGGGAGCTTCATGGTAATACAAGCGGTATTTGGCAGCTACGGGAATGAAAAAAAAAACGACTGAAGAAAAACTGCGCTACATTGGTAATCTTTCCCGCGATTTTACGTATAGTAACACTTTTGTCAAATTCTTTTTACCACCGCGCACATCAAAAGTTCGTCGGGGAACATTCCAATATAGGAAATGCACCGCGATTTTTTCGTGTCCATTTTTCTGAAGGTACCTTCTGCATTAGCGCGCACGCAAGGTCCTTTTTTACTGTGAGTTCGAAATTTCGGGCGGCTATGAGGTATCCAAATACGAGTAAGTGCATATCCTTTTTGCGGCGA